TTTTCATATTTTCTACTTCATTGATTCCACTCCACACTTTATGGTACTTACGTGGGTGCCATTTCTCTTCTTTAGTGTAGGTGGGAGCTGAGGCAGATCTGAGACCTTCCCTCCTTTCCTAACGCAGCAGGTGTGAGTGATGGCCATGCCGCCTCAGCACTGATTAGCGACTGTGATGTGCCCGACGTGGGGTCATAGGTCGTGCAGTGCCGGGGCCTCCGATGGTCGGGGATGGGCAGCTGGTGCAGGTCTCCAGGAGGTTGGGGCCCTGGCTTCTGTCTGGGGACCCGCTCCCAGGCAATCGAGTCCAGCCGTGAGTTCACTGCAGGGGCGGCCTTGGGCGCCCCTCTGAACTGATCACCTGCTTGCCCAGCGGTGGGAGGTGGCAAGGAGCGGCCCTGACTGAGGATGCTGTGGGCCATGGGAAGGGCTCGGCTGTGGGGGCCGCTGGCGCTGAGCGGGGTGACCTTGGGAGCGAGAGGGCCGCCAGGGCGAGGCTGGCAGTGCAGACAGTGGGTACCCCGTAACCCAGGTGTCTGTCCTCTCCCGGGACGCTGGTCCACACCAGACTTCTCTCAGGCCAGCAGCCAGGGCTGCTTTATGCCTCTCAACTCGCACCCGCTTGTCTACACCAGAGAGGAAGCACACAGCGCCCCAGCACCCGAGTGCCGCTCCGGACGGGCTCTGAGCCCTTTCCCTGCGTTAACTCACCAATGCTTCCAGCAGCCCTGTGGGAGGGGCATTGTTAGCTCCAGTTTGCAGGTCAGGAAACTGAGGCACAGAGAGACGAAGTGATCCACTCAGGGTCTCAGAGCTGGTAGGTAGAGGAGCTGGTGCTGAGCCGAGGACCTGCGGTGCCAGGGCAGATGCCTGACCATTAGTCATGCAATACAAGGAGAGGAAGCAGCCGCTGCCCCCTCCCCGTGGGATAGTAAAGAGCCCGCCCGCACAGCCGTCACTTCCAGGATATATTGGAGATTTGAGTGGCAAAGAGGAAGATGTTTCCAGAAAAGAGCCTCACAGCTTGGAGAGGTGCTTCCAGGCTGTTGTCCTGTGGACATCCAGAGGGAGGAGGGCTTTAACTAGCACCAGGAAATTGCCTATTTTACATAAAAACAAGCACCATTGTCATGAATGGCTTCCTATGGCTTCTGCCCTCCTCCATTTTCTTTTCAAAATATTCTACTGTCTAGCACAATATCTGGCCTGTGTAGATTCCTCAGTAAATGTTCAGTGAATGAGTGGTTGGTTGGGTGGATGTGAGGATGGATGGATGGGTGTGTGTGTGTGAGGATGGATGGATGGATGGATGGATGTGAGGATGGATGGATGGATGGATGGATTGATGTGAGGATGGATGGATGGATGGATGGATGGATGGATGGATGTACGGATGGATGGATGGATGGATGGATGTGAGGATGGATGGATGGATGGATGTGAGGATGGATGGATGGATGGATGGATGGATGGATGGATGGATGAGGGACGAGGGCTAGATGGGTGAACATGCCCCGACCAGGAATAGAGCTGGGGATCTCCTGGTGCACAGGTCTGCGCTCACCTGCTGAGCCACACTTGCTGGGCCCTGTGTCACTAAGCACATCAAATGGGTCTAATTCGTTTAAAATTTCTCCTTTGCAAGGAGAGGTAACAAATCCTCTGAGGTATTCCAGGGGCCCATTGGAACAACCCAAAGCCATTCCCAGGTTTAAAAAAAGTCTTTTTTTTTTTAAGTTGTCAAACATACTTTTCCCAAAAGATTATATATCATTATGAAACAATATTAAATTTATTTTTGCTCTGACCTTTGTTATTTCCTTCCTTCTTATTAACTTTGGACTTTATTTGTTCTTCTTTTTCTAGTTCCTCGAGGTAAAAGTTAGGTTGTTTATTTCAGATTTTTCTTCTTTCTTGAGATAGGTCTGTATTGCTATGAACTTCCCTCTTTTTTTCTTTTTGTTAATCCTCACGTGAGGATATTTTTTCCATTGAGTTTTAGAGAGCGTGAAAGGGAAGGAGAGGGAGAGAGAGAGAAACATCATGTGAGAGAGATACATGCATTGGTTGCCTCCAGCACACACCCCAACCAGGGAGGGGGATGAACCTGCAACCCAAGCACGTGCCTTGACTGTGAATCAAACTCGTGACCCTTCGGTGTGCGGGTCAGACGCTCTACCACTGAGCCACACCGGCCAAGGCTGAACTTCCCTCTTATAACTGCTTTTGCTGTGTCCCATAAATTTTGGTATGTCTTATTCCCATTGTCTTTTGTCTCAAGATGTTATTTTATTTCTTCCCATTGGTGTACTTTACTTGCTTGTCTTTTCTGATGGGCAGTCGCTCTGAAAGGGCCTCCACTTCTTGGGCCAGCGCCCCGGAGGGTGGCTGTCTTCCAGGGACCTTCAGAGGAACCTGCAGAGGCCGCACAAACTGTCTTGCATTTGACCACCCCAGATACCTCCTGATCTAATGCAAATCCGCTTGGCCAGGCCGCGTGCCACAGGGACAGGCACACAGATGGAAGCTCCGCTCCATGTATTATCCTGGCGCACTCGGCCCCGGAAGGCAGACCTGGCCGTGTCCTCACTGTGGAGCCTAGGTAGACTAGAGGTGGGAGGTGGAGCTGATGGCAGTGGGCGTGGAGCTTCTACGCAGGCTGATGGGAATGTTCTTAGCCACAGTGCAAGCACACACTGGCAGGCCTGGAGGAAGACCTGCTGAGTTGGGTGGAACAAATTGGCCCATCAAAATAAAAAGAAAAGGCAAAGACTCCCGCCGAATAGGAGGGAATATCTGTGAATGATATGTGAATCTGATAAAGATCTACTATCTGTCTCAGTAACTTGTTCAACTCAAGAACAAAAAGACAATCAACCCAATTTAAAAAACGGGCGAAGAACTTGAATAGACTTTTCTTCAAAGATCTGTAAATGGCCAATAGGTGTATGAAAAGATGTTCAATGTCATCTTAGTCAGCAGGGAAATGCAAAGCCAAGCCACAGTGATTGACACTTTACACCCCCTAGAATGGTTACAGTTAAAAATGGAAATAACAAGCGTCGACAAGGACATGGGGAAATGGGAATGCTCACACAGTGCTGGTGGGAATGCAAAATGGTGCGGCCGAGGGAGGAGCCAGCCTGGCAGTTCTGCAATAAGTTAGAAATAGATGTACCATGTGACCCAGCAATCCACTCTGAGATGTGCACCCAAGAGAAATGAAAACGCTTATCTGCACAAAACGTTGCACCTGGGTGTTCACGGCAGCGCTACCCATCGGAGCCGAAAGGACACCCCATGCCTGTGCACGGCCGAATGGGCACTGCCAGTAAAGGGCAGGGCTCACACCGTGGAAGAGGACTCTGCCATCAGAAGGAATGGAGTGCTGGCACATGCGCAGCGCGGATGAACCCAAACCAAAAGTGTTAGTAAAAGAAACCGGAGTCAGAAGTTACATCTTGTGTGATTCTGTTTATGCGAAGCTTCCAGAATAGGCAGGAGAAGAGAGGCGGGAGGAGCAGGGGACGGCTCACGGCACGAGTGTCTGTGTGGGCTGATGGAATGTCTGAAGTTAGACCGTAGTGATGCTTGCACAACTAAACACCACTTTGAAATTTTATTTCAAAAAACGTGTAAAGGCCATAATGTGAAGTCTGTGGTCCTGGACCCCGTGGCCCACGTGCAGGGCCGTGGCTCTCGAGCCCTCCCCTCCCCCGAGAACGGAGCTCCGGGGCAGAGGCCCTGCCTGGGGCGGAGCAGAGGCTGGTCCGCAGGGAGACTGGGCAGCAGTGTCAACAGCAGAGGCGTGCGGAGGGGAAGCCAGGAGCCCCTCACCCACTTCTCCTCCCGCAAACTGCAGCCTAAAGGCCCCTCTGCGCTTGCTACGCCTCAGGAAGTCCGAGGACAGGCCTGGGAGCCGCCTCTGGGGCCAAATCACTGTGGGCCTGGAGCCACCAGTCACTTCCCCGCTGATGAGTTGCCCAGAAGGGTAGGTTCACTTGGGCAGCCCAGCCCAGCCCGGAGCAGGAAGCAGGCAGAATTGGTGCTGAGGCCACAGTGGAGAGCGAGCCCGGGGTCTGTCCTCCTGCAGCGTCCCAGGAGCCAGGAGCCAGGAGCCCTGCCAGCCTTCGAGACTCCGTGTGTGATGATGTTCACCTCACCCAGGTGACTGGCCCCCGTCATCAGAGTGCGGCCTCGTCTCCCTGTCCTCTCTCAGCTGTTCCTCCCGCAGTTTCCGCTGGCACTGCCCGAGCCCAGTGTGCCTCTGGCGTGGCGGAGCTGGGTGCGCGCTAGGGCCTGGCGACCACAGAGGCAGCAGGGCGCTGCAGAGCTGCCCACTCCCCCTGCTCCCCGGCTCACTGTTGAAGGTTGACTAGATGTGATTGGTTCAAAAAATAAAATAAAAATGGCGGCTCAGTGGTTAGAGTGCCAGTCACACACCAAAGGGTCTTGGGTTCGATTCCTTGTCAAAGGCATGTACTTGGGTTGCGGGTTGGATCCCCAGCTACAGTCGGGCAAGTTTGGGAGGTAACCAATGGATGTGTCTCTCTCACATCGATGCTTCTCTTTCTCCTTCTCCCATCCCTTCCACTCTCTGTAAAACAAAATCAACACAAAAAATATCCTTGGGTGAGGATTGCCCCCCAAAATTGAAAGCTTGAAAGTCTGTGCCTGGAGATGCTGGGGAAGCAGGGGTGGGGGGTTGGGTCGCCCCTTCTCGGCCCTGCCCGGGGGGTTGAGGGGGCTGGGCCTGCTTCCTTTGGGGGACCCTCATCTGTTCTCAGCAGCTCCTCTCCTGCCCCTCGCCCACCGGGCGCGGGGAGCTGGGCCTGGAGGAGGTCCCTCTGCTTCTGGAGGAGTCGGGGTGTCGGTGGCAGAGGCTGCTTCCAGCAGACTGTGTGGCCCCCCAGACAGGACTAAGGACGTGCGGGCACCCCTGGCCTCCTCCCGCACCCGGGCCCTCCCAGCACCTCTCACGCTTCTCTTTCCCCATGCAGGTGGCGAGATGGGAACAGCGAACCCGGAAGCTGAGCAGAGCCCTGGGCTCCCCCTACGTGGCCTGCTACGTGCTGGGCGGGGTCATCCTGGCCCTGAACGCCCTGCGCTCGCACTGGTAAGCCCCGCGGGGGGTGCGGGGGCCGCCGCCGGGAGGCGCTGCTCTCTCAGGCCTCGCGCCCAGCAGCCACCCCCCCATCGGGCCACTGGACTCCTGTCCGCTGGGGGGTCCTTGGGACCTGCCCGGGACTCAGGCTCGCACCCCGGCCTCTGTGCGCACAGAGCCCTGTAGGAACCGGAGGTGTTACCTCCTGGCGTCGAAGAGGCCGGGGCGGGTGAACTTGTTCTACACGATGAGGCGCCGCCGGGAGGTGGGAGTGGACACTCTGCCCAGCTGCACGGCGGGCGCCTGGGGTGGGCGGGCCGTGGAGGCCAGCGTGGGAGCAAGTGGTCAGATGTGGCCGCGGCCAGCCGGCCTGTCCGTGAGCCTGGTTCTCACCTCCTGTGGCGTGAACGTGGTCCGGGCAGCGCTCGAAGAAGTGAGAACTGGCACCTGAGAGCCCCAGCCCCCACCTGGGGCCAGACTGTGCTGGGCCGGCCAGCCCTGCGGGCACGGAGGGCCGGGCATCGAGCAGCGCGCCCATGGGAGTGGCAGAGGGTAGCGCGAGGTGGTCGGGGCGGTCATGTCACAGGACACGCGTGTATCAGAGCATCACGTGGTGCGCCTACCCTCAGTCGCAGGGCAGTGACAGCTCAGCAAAGCTGGGGAAAATAAACTGAGAGCACTTTGAAAAGTATTAAAAATAGAACTTGCTAAAAAAAAATAAAACTTGCCTCCTTTTTAAGGCCGAATAAGATTCCACTGTGTGTGGAGCCACATGCTGTTTGCCCGGCTGCCTGTGTGGACACGGCTGCTGCCACCTTTTGGCTAATTGAGTCCTGCTGCTGTGAGCAGGGGGGGGGGGCGCCTAACGAGGGGTGGGGGGCAGCTATGAGGGGGGGTGTGCCCTCACCTCTGCACCCACAGTTCCTGTTGTTGCTGTAGAAATGGGCCTGCAAGTGGTGGTGGGGGGGACCAGGGCAGGCAGCTCCCAGCTGTGGGCCGCACACTGTTCCGGAGGAGTGGGGATGTGGGGGTTGGGGAGCAGCCCGGCACCCCTCTGTGTGCAGGGGCTTGGGAGCACGTGCCCTGTGCCTAGGCTGGCCGGCTCCCCGGGGGTCTGTGTGCAGTCACTGCCTCATGCAGGGCCGGGCTGACTGCTCCCGGGAGGTGGTCCCAGGAAGCGAGCTGGCAGAGGGCGCGGAACCCCGCAGGAGTGAGCGTGCCCAGAGCATGGGCTGTGGGGCTCAGTCCTGGTGGCTAAGCCCTGAGCCTCCCTCCGTCTGCCTGCTGCTGCCCGATGCCCGTGGGACATGGGACTTCCCTCTCTGACCTGCTGACCCTCTGAGAGCGGCCCCCCTCCCCCACGTCCTCTCCTTTTCAATGTACTTGGGTCAGCTAACGGGACCTTCATTGCGTCTCTGAACCGCCCTGCCCCTGCCCGCCTGCCCGCTCTCGGGGATTGCACGGGGCCGCTCCGGCCTGAGCAGGGAGCTTAGGCCTCAGGCCGACGTGGAAGGAGCTCTGGGCCCAGGCGCAGGAGGCCTGGGTGCGCTCAGTCAGCCCGCAGGCGGGGCCCTGGGGAGTTTGCCATGCGAGAGGCCTGGGCTGTGGGGTCTGGTGGGGGTGCTGGCAGCGGGAAGGGAGGTGCTGCAGGGAGGCTGGAGCCGGTACCCCTCAGTGGGCGGTACCCCTCTTCCTGCTCCACCCTGTTCTGGGATCTCAGGGGCGCAGAGCGCAGACAGCCCGAAGTCACATTGGTGACCAAAGCTCAATTTAAGTTTTTTAAAATTAAATATTTTATTGATTTTTTACATAGAGGAAGGGAGAGAGATGGAGAAGAGGGTTAGAGAGTTAGAAACATCAATGAGAGAGAAGCATCGATCAGCTGCCTCCTGCACACCCCCTACTGGGGATGTGCCTGCAACCAAGGTACATGCGCTTGACCAGAATCAAATCTGGGACCCTTCAGTCCTCAGGCCGACGCTCTATCCACTGAGCCAAACCGGCTGGGGCTCAATTTACCTTTTAAAAATGGAACCGGAGACAAATGAATGAGACTCTGCACACTTCCCCCTGGAGGACATTCTAAAACAGCGGTTCTCAACCTGTGGGTCGCGACCCCTTTGGCGGTCGAACGACCCTTTTACAGGGGTCGCCTAAGACCATCCTGCATATCAGATATTTACCTGACGATTCATCACAGTAGCAACATTACAGTTATGAAGTAGCAACGAAAATAATTTTATGGTTGGGTCACAACATGAGGAACTGTATTTAAAGGGCCAGAAGGTTGAGAACCACTGTAAAAGCGCCGCTCCACGTGAGTCCGGGTCCCGTGTGAGTCCGGATCCCCTGTGTGAGTCCGGGTCCCGTGTGTGAGTCCGGGTCCTGTGTGAGTCCGGGTCCCGTGTGTGAGTCCGGGTCCCCCGTGTGAGTCCGGGTCCCGTGTGTGAGTCCGGGTCCTGTGTGAGTCCGGGTCCCGTGTGTGAGTCCGGGTCCCGTGTGTGAGTCCGGGTCCTCCGTGTGAGTCCGGGTCCCCCGTGTGAGTCCGGGTCCTGTGTGTGAGTCCGGGTCCTGTGTGTGAGTCCGGGTCCCGTGTGTGAGTCCGGGTCCCCCGTGTGAGTCCGGGTCCTGTGTGTGTGAGTCCGGGTCCTGTGTGTGTGAGTCCGGGTCCCGTGTGTGAGTCCGGGTCCTGTGTGTGTGAGTCCGGGTCCCGTGTGTGAGTCCGGGTCCCCCGTGTGAGTCCGGGTCCTGTGTGTGTGAGTCCGGGTCCCGTGTGTGAGTCCGG